TATGCCATGGACATTCTCTCAGAATGTGGGTTGATTGGATGTAAACCTGCTTCATTTCCAGTGGAGCAAAACCATCGACTGGCTTTAGCAGAAGGTCCAGACTATAATGATCCTCCTCGCTATAGAAGGCTCATTGGGAGATTGGTTTATCTTACTATTACCAGACCGGATCTTAGTTACGCAGTTCATACACTCTCTCAATTTATGCAAAGCCCTAAACAACAACACTTTGATGCATTACTTCGCGTTCTCCGTTATGTCAAGCTCAATCCAGGCCAGGGCCTTCTCCTAAAAGCTGATTGTGATCTTCAAATACGCGCATTTTGTGACTCTGATTGGGCAAGTTGCCCTATTACGCGTAGATCCCTTACTGGTTTCTTTGTCATGCTAGGTAATTCACCTATTTCTTGGAAAACTAAGAAGCAAGCCACAGTCTCTTGCTCATCTGCAGAAGCTGAATATCGTTCCATGGCAACAACTATTGCTGAGCTTATCTGGATCAAGAATTTTCTTGCGTCTCTTGGCATTAATCATAATCAACCTATGCATTTATTTTGTGATAATCAAGCAGCTCTTCACATAGCTGCAAACCCAGTGTTTCATGAGCGTACAAAGCACATAGAACTGGATTGTCATTTTGTGCGTGAACAACTCGTGGCAAAAACCATCTCAACGGCATATGTACGGTCACACTCTCAATTGGCCGACATCTTCACCAAAGCTCTTGGAAAGCAATCTTTTCTTACCAATCTTCCCAAGTTGGGCATTTCATGTCTTCATGCTCCAACTTGAGGGGGAGTATTGGAGAATATTCTTGGATAAGATCAGATCAATGTAGTTTGTTATAGTTTGTTATGATGTACATCTTGTTACCTAGTTTAATGTGTTTTGTTATGATAGGATAGAGTTGTTTACGTAGGTTGCGGTCTACTATTTTTAGTCTTATCTTTTTGTACTGATATGCCTTATATTAAAGGCACCATTGAACCCAGTAAAACACAAGCTTTACGATACCAAATTTATTAACTATTTTGCTCCTTTTATTTGTTAGTCATGATATGTGCCGTTAGTTGAAATCTAGCCAACAATTGCTATGTTTAAGTTAGTTTTTTTTTTTCTTTTTTTTTCTTTAAAATATAAAAAATCATGAGTGGCTAGCTTGCTTTCTGGTTTTGTTTTTTTGATTACATTAGGTGTGTGTCATTATGGTAAAACAAATAAAAAAAATATAAGAGAAAACCAACTAAAATAGGACGATAAACTTGTGAGTACCCTTTTGTTTTCTATTTGTCATAGTCACTGTTAACTCTAGCATTTAGGTTTTTTTTTTAAAAAAATAAAAAAATAAAATAACAAAAAAAAACTAAGCTAAGCAAAGGCATGTAGTCTGTGGTATAGGCTTCAGTTGCTTTCTTCTCCCTAGAGTGGATTAGGTACATTTTTAATGAATAAAAAATAAATAAATCAATCAAAAAGAAGGAATGCTATGATTATCTACAGCTTTCAGTTTTCGTTTTTTCCTTCTTTCTAGTAGGTTAGGTAGCTTTTTCTTTTGATATTAAAACAAATAATAAAAAACAAAAATAAAATAAAATAAACCAAAAAAAACAAAATAACCAAATTGTCCGTGTTGCCTTATATTCCATATTCATGTAAACAAATGATTATCTTATTGTATTGTGTGTGTATTTATCTATTTGTTGGTGAAATATGATTAAATACTTTTAAAGTTATAAAAAAATAAAATATAGCGGTTATGTTATCGCATCCTCTGTTACTTTTATTACTGATACCTGTTTGTTTGTGTCAGACATACATTATATGCGACATTAATAAAAAATAAAAAGTAAAAAAAAAACCAAATAAAAAATATAAAAAACTTCATAATATCTTTATTTCAATCCACGCAATGATTTACAACGTTGATGTATGGTATTCCATCCTCAAGTGTTATACTTATCATATGTGTTTTCGTATGGCTATGCTATCTTAAACCTTACGCAAATGTAGATTTATTTTGAAATAAAACTTTCTTTCATTTAAATAATTGATTTTACCCAATATCATGGCAGCCAAGGAAGCACGGACACTTGTAAAAACAGGAAGAGTCGGGTCCGACACGCTCCGACACGGCGACACGCTCCGACACACTCTGACACGGTGTCGGACATGCGGTTGACTTTTTCAGACACGTTGACCATTCCAACACGCGAATTTGACCGTGTCCGACACGGTCAAATGGCATTTTCGTATTAATTTTTTTTTAAAATTTTTTTTTTAAATTTTTTTTTTTAAAAGTTAAAATATATTAATAAAGCTTCCACATGATCATATCAATTTTATTTTTTTTCTTTTTTTCCCTTAAGTAGATAAGAGATCATCTCAGCATCATTGTTGTCAATTCCTATTACGCTCTTGTTGTATCTTCTTCTCTCTGATATCTATCTAATATGATTTGATCTCTCTATCTGATATTATATTTCTCTCTCATCTCAGTTCTTATTTTTTTTATTAAAGCTTCCATCTTTATAACGTGTTAATGGGTATTATTAATTTAGTTTCATTTTTTTGTTAAATTATTAAATATTAAATGAAATATACACTATATATATTAAAAATATTATTTAATATTAAAACGTGTCCCAACGTGTCGAAATCCATAATTTTTTAAGATTGACGTGTCGGAGTGTCGTGTCGTGTCGTGTCACGTGTCGCGTGTCGTATCGGTGCTACATAGATGGCAGCGATGTACAATGTAGATGTATGGTCTTTCATCCTCAAGTATTGTAAATATCAGAAGGGTATACGTATAGCCATGCTATCTTACACCTTGCGATGTGGGATCGTTTTCAAATTAAATTATTTTCTCTCAAAAATTTTAAATTTTAAATTATTCCTCCATCTCATTCGATAAATTTGTTTTTACATCCTAGCAGCGATATATGACATTGTTGTGCGGCTCGCCACCCTCAAGTGTTATAAAATTCGTTAGAGCTTACGTATGGTTATGCTATCTTAAGCTTTACGCAATGATGGATCTTTTAAAATATATGATTTTTCCAAAAAAAAATTAAAATTAACTAAAACACAGACATTTTACAGAACGATGTAACTTTGAGTTCCTCATTGCAGCAGAGGATACGTAGGAGCGGAATTTCTCCGTCAAGTTAAAAATAAAACTTTTTTTCAAATTTTCTTTTCTTTTCTCGTAAATAATTTTAACACCTTGCTTTATTTGGGTTAAACAAATATTCTAAAATTATCACAAATTTGCACGACTAATTTAAGGTAACCGTCTTTGAAACGGATGTGTGAGGGGTGCAGTGGGATTAAGTTTCCACTTCCCTGTGCATAGTCAGACTCCCGAATCTTGATTCAAAGACCAGTTTGCAATAAAAGATTTTTTAATTTTTTTCAAATTAAATAAAATTGGTGGCGTTCATTGTTTTATTTTCTAAATTTCGGGTGGTTACAGTGGTATTTTTGCAAGAGTGGTAAATCGGAAGTTGCATGGCTGTCAGAAGTGAGAAGAGCCTTGCGTGGCCAAGCTTGGTACTGGAATCTGTGGGGGAAGCTTCAAACGGGGCGAAGCTTGGTACTGGAATCTATGGTGGAAGCTTCAAATGAAAGATGTTACATGGTCGTGATTCCGGTTTGATATAATTCAATGATTTTTAGCGCTCATGGAAGACTCTTCGGTGAAGGAGGCACAGCCAACACCAATTCTTTTGCATTTTATTTATTTATAAACAAACATTTATAAATTATACATGGCATATTATATGAAATACACAATAAGTGATGGAATATTCCTATTTAAACTGGTACTGAATTCCATAATGTGCTCTGCAATTTTATCAGGACCCAGAAATAGAAGTATCTGGATAATATTGTACAAAATTCAACTGTTATGACATGAACCTGCTAAGGGAAGAAGGTGCAACCATACAAGTGCTTTCTTCTCTAAAGAACCCTGTCTAGAAGCTACAGGCACTGATGTTATGATGGTACCACAAAAACAAGAGTGCTTATAATCTGAATTGCATAAAAAGTACCACTCAAGAGTAGGGTGTAGTGGTAAGTGAGTTATACTCCTCTTAAGAGGACTAAAGTTCAAATTTTGGAAATGACAATTGTATAAAAAGTTTAAATTGTACAAGTATTTGTAAGAAATTTCAATTAACAGTAACTGTGTCGTGCCTTATTGATGGCTCTTAGCTTGGAATATCCTTTCACATTATGCACATGCTTTGTATTTAACCTCATCATAGCTCATGATGTGTCAAAAATCAAAACCAAACACATGGAGGAAACAATTCATGTCTTTGATTAAAAGGATTGTCTTCAGCATTTGTGCACACTTTTCTGTAACATATCAGGACAATCTTCAGAGTTCATTAATGCATCAGAGTTTATTAAATTCCATTTTCCTCTTCACGAAAGAATTTTAAGTTTAATGATTTTAAGCATCATATGTACTGAAATTGCAAAAGATTATGTTGTAGTGAAAACTGGGAAATTTTGCATGATCGAGTCATTATAATCGGATACTCCTGTCTTTTTGAAACTAATATTTTATGTTGTGAGTGGAAAAATGTACCGATATGCAATTTTTTTTATGATGTCAATGGAGACAGGAGTTGTTCAAGACATAACAAAAAGACAAATACCAATCCATTTTATGACAAAAGAGTAAACAGTACAACTTAGGGAGAGGTAAAGCTTGTAATCATGTATAAGATTATTCATTCAATAAGGACTGCCGCTGAAACTTCACCAGCAACAAAAAATTGCATCGCATGATATATGGTACAGAAATGAGACACATGTCCATGGTTTCAAATATGCAGGATCAAGTAAGTAAAAGATCAGCAGACATATGAGATAATGCTATTTACAGGTTCTGTCTGTTCAAATTTTACAACAACATTACGTATTAGAAACTACATCATTTCCTTTCTTGATCAAGTAAACACTGCATTTGCTTGAGTCTTCATATTCTATCTAGCCTCAAAAATTGTGAGGGACATCTCATTTGAAGATACTGATTCAGGTAAACTCCTTCCAGTATAAAATCCAGGGGGCTTTGGCTGGGGCAACAATTTTTCACCATTCAGCATAAGAATGACAGAGGACATGTCCGGCCTGTCTCCTGGTTTTTGTTGTGCGCATAACAAACCCACATGTATGCATCTTAAGACTTCAGATAAAACGTATCTTTCGCGTAAATGTTTTTCTATAAGCTCCAATGGCCTGTCTTCAGTCCAGAGTCTCCATGCCTAAAGCCATGGAAATTAAATTAGTCACTTTGAATATATTCTCATGTGAGACAATTGAACTGTGTAGGAAAGTGGATAGTGATTGTGCCTACATGTCCAAGCAGATTAAGAGAATGTTCTGGGTCAGAAAATCCTCTATTCTTTTTCCCACTGACTATCTCGAGTATTATTACACCAAAACTGAACACATCTGATTTCACGGAGTAATGACCATGCGCAGCATATTCTGGAGGCATGTAACCACTACAAAAAAAAAAAAATTTGCAGAGGAATAATTAAAAAAAATAACAATTGCACATAAAATTTACATTATGTAGAAATAGAAGGTAACTTACTATGTTCCAACCAGTTTTTTTGTTTTGGCTTCAATTTGATCTCCCCCAAAAGTCCGAGCCAGGCCAAAGTCTGAGATTTTTGGGTTCATATAGGCATCTAGTAAGATATTGCTGGTTTTCAAATCTCTGTGAATGATTCTCAGTCTAGAGTCTTCATGAAGATAGAGAATCTCTCGAGCAACACCACCAATTACGTGGAAACGCTGAAGCCAGGCCAAGAGCTTGCTTCTAGTTTCATCTGGTTAAATTCACTAACATTGTTTAGTATAGAACTTGCTTTATCAATGTAACACCCCGTTCTAGAACCGGTTTGTTAACATTGCATTATGATATTAAGTGCAGTTACAATCACATTGGTTCAATTAAAAATCCGGATAAATTTTTCATTTTGAACAAAGCCGAATTTAAAATGCCCAATTGTGTGATCATAACCATATTACGTTGCGGAATAAAATAAATTAAGCTTAACATCATATTATGATTTGGTTCTAGTTCACTACAAAACTCTCTTCACCTTTTATTAAATTCGAATTCCGGTACTTACTATATAGTTCTCATCTCGCACTAGGTTATAGATCTTTGTGTTAGCTACGCGTGGGTTCAAACTGCGCCCAATTTGGATCTCTGTAGCTCAAGTTATGTCAATTTTACTAAATCATGTGTATGCTGAAAACGGGTTGCGAGCGCTTAAGCGCCCTCCACGACCTAGTTTTTCGCACGGCAGGGCGCTTAAGCGCGCTCCAGCAAGCTTAAGCGCCCAAAGGCAGAGGAAAATGGGATTTTTAGGCCACCAATGGCGCTTAAGCGCGCTCCAGGGCGCTAAAGCGCCCACCGGTAGAGAGTTTTTGGTCTTTACAGGTGCATCAGGGCGCTAAAGCCCCCTGAGCGAGCTTCAGCCTCCATTTTCAGGCTTAAGCCCCCTCCGAAGGGCAATTTGGCCTCCATTGGTATTTCATCCATAACTTTAGTTATACTACTACTATTTGCACAATCTTGGCCTCATTAGAAAGCTAAGAAGAAGATCTACAACTTCCATTAAGACACAAGGGTCCAAATCTATCATATAGGATATGAGAATGGACAATAAAACATGATATCTTTGCTTTTACTTGGATTTTCCAACTACAAGTCTTCTTTCACCTAATTGATATCATGCAATCCTTTCAATAAGTGATTCCTAGTTCTTTCTAGGTACTCATACACTAAGAGAAACATGCATACCCTTTCATCATATATATATATATATATATATGTATATATATATATATATATATGTATCCAATAATTACAACATTACATCATTGCAACATGTCTTAATTACAAATCATGAAACTTAGCTACAAAACATTATGATCAACTCCTTGGCTCCCATCTACAAAAGAGATACCAAAGGAGATGAGCATAGGCTAAGTCCATCCAAATAAAACATGACATACATATAACAATTAGCTTTCAAATGTAAATCCTATACATGGTACTACTACATGTCATGTATAATCCAAAAGAATGCAACATCTTCATGTTAGTATACGGATGTCCTAGAGACAATCTTTTGATTAGATTAGGACATATGTAGACCTTTTATATTGTCGCAAATAAATAAAAAGCACTCCTTATCCTGTTTCATATTTTGTCTCAATATTATAGTTAATATTTTATATGAGTAACTGGATGAACCCCTTGGAATAAAATAGGTATCTCTTGAGTATCTGTGATGAGATCACGATCATGAGGATTCAAGGATACTGGATGTTTATCCCTAATTTTATGTTCCTAGTCTAGAGACACTGAGAATGGGGATCAGTGATCTCGGGTAAGACTAGCACGACTTATCTACTTGTATTCGGATGCAAGGTAAAAACCTCATGAGCTACAAATATGGAGATGTCTTAGCTAAAGTTGTGGGTGGACCTATAAGGGTATAGCTCGCACTGAACAGACCCACAGAGAGACTCTATGAGGAAATCTTACAAAAGTATCATTAGAGCAGTCTCTTAATATTTGGGTATGTCTTTCCTTAGACCATAAGTTGTCACCTAGACTGTGTTCTAGAAGGCATGTTTTGATTGTATACCTCGTCTGCCTGAAACATGAAGACTCATAGGTATATTTTTGGGCATGTCCAGAAAGAGCACAGGCTTAGGGTGATAAGCTGAAGGAATTCGTCAAATCTCTGTAAGGGATTAGGTTATCTGTAAACCGGAGAAATCGGGATGACATTTACAGGATTCAGGAATCTATGCATAGTAAAAGAGATCATGAGATGATCTGCCTTTAGAGTCAGTAAATTGAAGATTCCCTATTTCGAATAAAGTTTACCCTAAACCGCAAGGGTTGATACGTTTCCTTGCCCTAGGTTTAATGGGAAGGTAACCGAGACGAAAGGAAATACATACGGTAACCAAATATGTATAATAGGATGATTATGTCATTAACCTAACTAGCTCTGGGGCAACAAAGCATTGCTAGTGCTCTGTGTTGTCATTAGATGGGTTGTGGGCTTGTTGGGCCCAAGCCCATTTATGTCAGTGGCTATGTTGGGCCTAATGGGTCACACATTAACACCTTAATGTCATGATGATATAGCATTAAAGGTATTGGGCCTAATAATGGTTGTTAGCCTAAGAAGTTTGGAAGCCCACCTAAAAGGGAAAAGGGCGCATGGATCATGTAATGGGCTTGGATGGTCCAGGACATTACTAATTAATTTAATTAGTTAAATTAATTATCAAATATTTGAATTTTGAATTTTGAATTTGAATTTTGAATTTGAATTTTAAATTTGAATTTTGAATTTAAATGTTTGAACGTTTGAATTTAAATGTTTGAATTTGAATTTGAATTGGCTATAAAAAGTTATTTCATAACAAAAGGATAAGATAAGATCTTGTTGGAACAAATCCCTTGTATCAAGAGGAGATCTTTGAAGCATCATCCAAGGTTGTTTGGGGTGTTGATTTGGGTTGTTGTGAGTATCATTTAATCAACCAAATAAGCTCCAAATCCGATTTGGTTGGTTGAGAGAATAAGTGAGTGAGTTGGTTCAAATTTGAATGCAACTACTCAATGTATTTGGACTGCATTGTAGACCAAAAGGGCACACCATATGGCTGGCCATATGATGGTTGTTATAATGACCCTAACTAGTAAATCTTAGTTAGAGATTTAATTTAAGGATTTAAATGCCATAATTAGATTCAGTGAGCGATTTCGAGTATTTTGACTGTAATCATGACTATGTTATGAACAGTGTGTTCTGCCGGAGAATTTACAGTTTTGTGAATTAACCGGTAGAGCTTAAAATGAGCAAAATAATTTTAGGAACATAATTTGAAAATTCTGATGACAAATATGAGTTCAGAACGAAAAATTGTATAGTCTGGCACTTTCCGTGAAAATCTCGTGAATAGTGTTTCTACCGGGTATTTTGTACTGCTGTTTAAGCAACCGGTAGAGTCCAGAAATAAATAATTGATGAAATAAGAATAAGAAAGTCCAATATATGCCAAGCAAGTCAATATAGGCCCAAGAAAATGATAAGTTTATAAGTGTTAAGTTTTAAAAGTAAATAAAGTACAATTAGTGATTCACAGTGCATTTCGTCAAAAACGGTGCAGAAACCATACTGTGAATTATGAATATTGTTTTGTAACAGATAAAAATTAATGTAAATGATTTTAGAAAAATAAAAATATGTTCGTAGTTTTAAGTTAGTTCCGGGTCAATTTAAGTTAAAATACGCGATAGAAAAACATCTGTTAAAAAAAGCCACATGTGCTAGCCTTATAAGTGACTTAGTCTCATTATCCCAAATCAGTTTCTCTCTCCTCTCACCCTCTCAAAAACCGAGCTGCACCATTGGAGAAGGGGGGTAGGGTTTTGAATTTCTTCTCCTTGATTCTCCATCATTTCTACTCCAAATTCAAAGACCCACCACATGAAATTGCTTGTAAAACACCCAATGAACCCATTCCAACCATCAATTTGAGGTTTTGTTGAGTGTGTGAAGAGTTATTCCTCCTCTCATTTTCGAGTTACTATTCATTGGAGGAGAAAAAGTGAGTTTTTGGATGGAGCTTGGCTTGGAGATTGCTCTCTAGGCTTTGTACAAGTGTTTAAAGGTAAGAAACCTCTATTTCCATGATATTATTTTGATGATTTAAGTTATGAAATTGATGAGCATATTTTGTTGGGAAATAATTGATGTTAGAATGTGAAATTTATGATGGATTATTGTTGTTTAGGAAGTTATAGTGTTGAGTAAGCATCCACATGTGATATAAAAATTTAAAAGTCCTATTGCATCTTCCTCCTAGGTTTCGGCCATCATGGAGTGAGTAGGAGTTATTGTGGAAAAAATTATATTATGTATTGTGAAGGTATAATGTGTAGGAAATGAGTGAAAATGGATGAGTTAGTAAGAATGCCTAAGTAAAAAGGACTTGGTGTCTAAACTCAAAATAGGAATTTAGTGGAAGCATTCCTAGGTGTTTGCAAGTTGTAATGAAGTAACGAAAATGCATTGTAAAAGAGAAGGATCTTTGGAAATTCCCCTTGTAGGATTCGACCTATAGGGTATTTAGGGATATATTTTGTACATTTTATTTTAAATAAAATGTGTTGTAATAAATTGTATAAAGGTGATGAGTTTTGAAGAAAAATAGCATGATTTATGTTGAAAATTCCTAAGGGAATGGTTAATTAAATTAAAGAACACCAACGGTTATAAAGAGGTCTAGACTTGTGTATTGGCATAGGATTGGCAAAAATGCAAAGAAAGGAAAATAAGCGATAAAATGTATGCTTATGAAATAATTATGGTATTGCATCATTTTATTGATGCATTGTAAATTATTCTCTAGGTGTGCCTAGGGATTGAGAAGGATCGGAAATCTCTTGAAGCGATAAAAGTAACTTGTTCCACAAGTAAGCGTATTGGTAAAGCTTCAAGAGGTAAGCTCTATGTTTAAGGAGTCTTTTCCTGCTTGAGTGCTCCACCATGGTTAGTGAACTATGGTTGGACTGTATGACTGTGATTTAGATGCTTTGTATAGATGCATTCATATAGAGTTATTTGATAACATGATAT